GCCACTCCCATCCGGTCACATGGGCGGCAAGCCACTCCCACAAAGGAGGCCACACCCACAGAGTAGGTTCGAACAATTTTTGAAACCCAGCACTGATGGGATGGCTGGTGATGCGCCAGTGACACAAGGTGAGGGATGTGGCAGGCAGCAGGTGTGTGGATAGGCGCTGACATGATGGATCTGAAATGGCAGGTGCTCTATAATATTATATTTATAAGCTACTTAGAAGGTTTTACTTTCATTTTTACTGCCTGCCCTTCCTCCTCACACTTAGAGCCTGGTGGTATAGATGCATTTCTCTGCAAACAATCATACGGTTGGTAGCGTATATAGATTTGCAAAACAATGGGCTAAAAGAATATTCCTGAACTTTGTTTTATGATTTATCTCATGGTTACTGTGAAATTGTGTGAAGGCATCAATGCAGTGCATGTTATCTCAGCTTGCTGAGCTTGGATTCATTGAATGAGTTTACCAAAAATGTAAATATTGCAGAATATACTGCTTCATGCTGCATAACTAAGCTCCATTTCATGGTGAATATGTTGGAATGTTTATTTAATTTGTATGCCGCCCCACTCCCGAGGGATAAACTAAATTATTAATGTATCTGAAATATAAAACTATCTATAGATAGTTTTTAGCTCCAAAACCATTTTATTAAAATAAATTTGATAAAAATCAAAAAGATCCTATTTAAAATTTAAAAATCCATTTTTTTAAAAAAAAATCATCGATTTTTATCCACCCTGAATTGAAGAGCACTTTTGTGACGGAAGATGCTGTCAGTGGATTCCCCACAATGAAGTTCAGCTCAATCCCCCATCTACTTCAACAGTATTTCCCACAAGACTTCTTTCAATTTAATTTAAAACAATTACATTATTTTAAATATCTGTTATTGGTTTATTCGTTCTGTTATTCTCTATTCTCCTGTTATCTTGTCTCCATACAACAAATCTCTATTTCTTTTCTTTAAAATCTATTATTTTTTTTTAAATTGGGGATTGCACAAAACAATGAATCATAAAGTACAATAAATGCAATCTGATTGAGTGCATATAGTGATTGGCTAGTTTCTATGCATGGCTGGGAATGCTATATATTTCTATTAATTTGCACTTGATTTCTTGCCCATCTCTCTGTTGTGGGTGTATAATAATAACAAATGTTTAACACATATGCCCAGCCCATTCTATATGTGTTCCCATCCGCCTGAGAAAATATGCTGGGGCATATAAAGGCTTATGGATTATAATAAAATGTGCTTATAGACGTTTTCTGAGTACAGACAGTCCACTTACAACAATAGCAATAGCAATAGCAGTTAGACTTACATACCGCTTCATAGGGCTTTCAGCCCTCTCTAAGCGGTTTACAGAGTCAGCATATCGCCCCC